TTTATATATCCAGTGTAACTATTGTGATTTTTTATTTACAGATAAAGGTCTTTTCGATATTATATACAAACAAAATAACTAGATCCATTATTACTTACTTAAAAAGCATTCCATTATACTAGAGATTGAATATACTTATTATTATTACAATTTATAAGATATATTAAGCGATTATATATTCCAGACCCTTCAAGATATATAAAAATAGAACTATCGATTGCCAGGATTGTACTAACGATTTATCTTTCTTTCTAATCTTAGGAATCATTACTATCTCTACCCATTTCTATCTATCTAGGAAATAATTAAGTTGCAAATATCTATTAAAGATTTCAGCAATTACTAATCCAATAAAGTCTTAGCAAACCTTTAGAAGGCAAACAGTAACCTGATTAGACCCCGATGAGATACTTGAGATTTCTATAATACTCTTTTCTACTTCTTCAAGAAATATTTCTATACTCTATAAGAGTTTGTTAGATATACAGTTTGATTGAAATAGATTTGTTATAAGATTATTATTGTTATCAAAGTATTTGAGGATCTTCTTTTATAAAACCCAGGCTTTTTTTGTAATATCTTTGATCACCATATTATTAATAATCAAAAACAGTACTCTAAGATTGATAGCAAGCTTATATTAATTTATTATTTTATATAGATCTTTATTATAACTAACCCTATTAATAATCCTATACCAATATTAGTATTTTGCTTTTCTGATTATAATTATCAATCCCCATTATTGTTGTTCTGTTTAGTCAATACCCTCAACTCTAACTATTCTATAGTTTTGATATGCCATTCTGCATTCGCTTATCCACCAGAGGGTAGAGTGTCCAGAAACACTTTTCTCCTTTCCTACTAAGCAAATTACCAATTCAAACAAAGAATCCAGCATTCCTACTAATTTATTAATCTACTCAGCAAGCATATTCGCTGAACTTGGAAAATAAGGAACTTTATTCTTTATAATTCTCTGAAAGATTAAAAGACCTTTTTTGCTAATTATACAACTAAAGGATTTAGTAATAAATAAAGTAAGGTTCGGGATTATAATTACTTATGTTTTGTGATCAGAATCGCTTTTCAGATTAATATCAATAACAATACCAGTGAATAGAATATTAAAAAAGATCAGATTAATTGTATAACCTGCTTTGTGAATAGAAACTCCTGGAATCCTAATAAAGTTTATCCTATTCGAAATGAATTATTCTGCAAGGAGAGCTCCTTGATCGGCTAAGGCTATACCAGGTTCGAATAGATTATACTTGGTATTGAAGTTGTTATCTATTATTATATAATTAAAGAATATTATAAAAACTATTAGATCCATTATCTCTCTAATATCTAGTTATCAGTATATATTAATAATCTATACACTATTTACTTTTATTTAGAAAAGATTTCAATATAATTGAATACATTTTTATTGAATATATAATTACTTGTTTTTGTATATATATATTATTATTCTTAGTCTTTTCCTTTCTCTTTTAAGGCTATCCAGATTATTCTAGCTATTCGTTAGTATAAAAAGATTATACTCTGAATAGTTCTGGATTCGAGTTCTAGGGTATATGGAGAGTTTCTGTATATATAAAACCTCCAAATCTTGTTTGTATACTATTTGCAGTATTATAATATATACTTCTGTCTTTTTCTATATATTTGCCTAATCAATTTGTAGAGATCGGGCTATGGCTATCTGGTGGTTAATACTATAGTATCGAAAGAAGTGGCTATTTATTCAGATCGATATCGATATTTATATCAATATACTGTAATAATGTGATATTGAAAAGTGTCTTCTCATTCAGACTACTCTCATTTGAGCACTTCCTTTTAGAGCAATAAAGATCCTCAGGCGAGCTGCTAGCCGAGGAGGTATTCTGAGGGGTATATTAGGAGCTGCTCAGATTTTTATATACAATAATATATTCCCTATAGATCAAGAAGAGGATCTCTACTATAATATTTCGAAAGGCTATTACAATCAAAACAAATGTTTTATTAACTAGTACTTCAATAATCAAACAAGTTTTTCAATTATATTTCTTAATCTTATAGACTTTGGATTTTGTAAGATATACAACTTTCCTATTGACTCAATACAATATCGCGAAATAGTTGTTATACTCAGTCTGGAATGGTTCTACACAGTTTGTATATTTAGTCTTGGCCTTATACTTAGGCCCAAATGGGTTATTGTAATTCGTTTGTAGAATACTATAATTATTGTATCTCGAAGCGTTTTTGTATATTATTAGATTATAGAAACCCTAGCATTTTGGATTATAATAAATAATATACTACTTTAACTTAATATACCAAGCTCGTTTAAAATTATCAAAAAGTCTAAAGGAAGAGACTTCTCTTGATAGGTTGACAATCCAGATCTGCTTATAGGAATTGGCTATTCAGATAATAGTTCGATAATCGATTAGGGGAGTGCCTGTTTATATTAACACTTCCTTGACTACTATTTCCTTAATAACAAATATTCTATCTCCATTTAGATTACAAAGAAAAGTTAGGACCCTCTCTAATACATAGTAATACCAGGTTATAGATTGTTCTAGACTATTATAGTTCAGGATCTTCTTAATCTTTTCTGTATTCTCAGCTTCGAGGAGTTTATTATATATAATACCGCTGGCAGCATATACTGCCTAACCAATAGCTATAAGGGTAATAGTTGCTATATCAATATCTTTCAGATTAGGAATAGCTTTATCGATCACCTTTCTTAATATATAGGTATTCGGGCGGCTTATTATTAATACAATAATTCCTACTATTAGTAGATGGATATTCATTCTGATTTTCTGAGATTTAATCGATCTCTATTTATTGATCTACTCTTACATATATATATTTGTATTTATAGATATACTCGAGTTTTTCGGGGTCTTTGTGATATCTATATAGATACAGTTTGGATTATTACTGTTTCTGTTTTCAGCTATAGATTGTATCATACTTTGTGATAATCTAGTTTTGATATTGTTTATTGTTATATTATATACTTCTTTACTAAAGACTACTTTCTTTGATATATTATCAGCTTCGAATTAGTAAAGTATTATTTCGAACATTTCGTAAACCTTACATTTGAATCACGCTTGCTCGTTGAGAGTATTAAGTTGTACCGCAATAGAGGATCCTCTCGTTACTTGCAGACTTGATATAGTAACTCTTGCAGCTTTTACACTATAAATACTTGTATTGTTGTAATTGAATAATAAGAATAAAGATGGTGATCAGTTACGAGTAAACCGGGGATCGATCACGATCGGTGCTCTTGTAGGGGTAGTCGTCATGGCGTTCACGCCGTTTGCAACGACTGTAGCTATATCTGATACTAGAGCTTACGTAGTCGGAAGGTGCGGCTTAGTACGATCTAAGCTCGCTGATGTGTTGTTGATATTTGCAATAAGTATATATGGCGGATGCTGAACCTATTTATAAAGCTGGGAACGATTAGTAAAAAAAGATTAATGATCGATATCATAACACTATGTCAATCCTATAAGTAAAGGAAGATCATTGAAGTGATCTGAATTGATGATCCGATTAATCTGGCTGATATAATAATAAAAGAAAAGCTATATCAAGCTCTCGCTAATCTGATCAATACAAATAAGATCGATATCAAAGTAATAAAATAAATAAAAAAGGATTGAAGAAAAGAATTGGTTTTATTAATAAGAGATCAGGGACTTTAACCAGCAAACAAAGGATTTTAATGATTTTACGAATTTATTTTCAGTTATTATATTTGAAGCTATAAAAGAGAGTCCCGAATATATGAATAAGGATATTCACTTCAAAGAAATGACTTCAATACAATAGCTACTGTATCAAAGGTATTTAGGCGAATACGAAGGAGACTAGCTCTTTCAGTAGTGCCTATATAAGGCCTACTATTTCCCCTTATTAGCTAGCTCTTTAGATTGAATACAAATAGACATTTAGGGGCCTACTGATAGTGGGAACCACGTCTTCCGTATCTCTCTCGAACCAACAGAAAGACACCGAAAGACATTATCAAAATGAGCACCGTGTCCTGTAGTGTACAGTATTATTATACCTTATCACCAGGCTATCGTAATTCCTGAAAATAAGGGAACATGTATCCCACGACATCGGTCGCTTCAAGACGGGCATTAGAACAATCCGATTTTAGTTTTGTAAATACATTGCCTACCGTTCATTCCAAAGAGATCGATCCATCTAACAGTACTAAATAATCCCTAAAGAATAGGATTTACGGAAATGGTTAAAATTGTTAAGCCAGCCTTTGAGAAGTGCAAAATTTCATCAAAATTTTGCAAATCCAGTTCTCGACGCAACGTCACCAATTTTAGCAAAAATATCTATTGCAAACGCAGGGATAACATACACCCAGCTATTTGACCTACGCAGGGATCGAACCTGCAATCTCTTGATGCCAACAGCTTAGAAATTTCTCAACTCCTCCCTGTGTCGTAGTCAAGCGCCTTGCCATTGGCCAGCAGGCCAGTATTTTCCAGACAGATATCCGTCAGGAATCAATAGTTGTTTGTACCGTTTGATAAAAATAACATGAGTTTTAAACAATATATCGACTGCTTTGTGACTCGATCTAAATGTGGGGAAGGAAAATTTTCCTTTCTTTTGTGGGCTGTTTGGTGGAGGGGCTCGAGGGGGGCCGAGAGGGGCAATTGATTAGGCCAATGCTTCGTTTTATGACTGTAAATGAATTGAAGATTAAGCCGAAGAATGTCAATACAAACAAACAAAGAAATATTTCCCCGAGGATCATTTGTTCATAAATTTTATTTGTTGAATATTATTATATACATTGCAAAGTTAAGAAGTCGACAAGAGGTATCGTTAAACATTGAATGGTACTTAGCACACACACCCCATTAAAACCATTATTTGACCACCGAATGCTCCAAAAATCACTATCATTTATTATTCGTATATCCACCATGCAAAAAGCCATTGTTTTAAATGATTGACAAGTCGAATGTTGGCGAATCAGGTGTAACCTCAATAATAGCTGGACCAGCAATGATGTTGGAATCAGTTAAGGTGCCAAAGTTGTCATTGGTCAAGAAGGCATAAATTTGTCCCGAGATGTTCATTGGAACTGCAGTCATGATTAAACCGTCACTGCCGACTTGGCTCTCAACAGCGATAGTGTCGAGTCCGCTCACAAAAGTAGTATAGAACGTTCCGGAAGGGGCCGTCTCTGGTACAAGGGCAACATTGGCGCCTGGTGCAGTAGGCAAGCCAGACTTGAGGGCGAGGGATGGGTAGGCCATTACGGGCAAGGCAGCGTTGGTAGATGGGCAAGAGACGATAAAGGATGACGCGATGGAGTAGACGGCGTTCAATCCAAGGGGTGTGGCGAAAGGATTGGCCATTGGAATTTCACCATTCGCATTACGTTCGGCAGATTGATGCAAAGCTTCGGTGACAAGTATAGAAGCAGCTGCGGTAAGGTATGCCTTTGATGTGATATCGGCTGCTGCTCCGAGGTAAGCGGAAACACCGACACCCTCAATGACGGAAGCGAGAGCAACGAATGATTTTGGATCCGTGAATGGAAATTTGTATTCACAAGCTTGAACAGGAGCAGCACCTGCAGCGGTGAGGCCACTTTGAAGATAGACAACATGTGCTTCTTCATCATGCGCAATATACTTCAATTGAGTGTAGAAGGAAGAGGTGAAGTTTGCATCGAGCCACATTTGTTCTGGCATTTCACTGAGAGCCTTCTTGTAAAATGCATTCTCGAGATGTTCGAGCGTCAAGGCATATTGGAGGATATCCGCATCGGTTGGCGCTGCTTGTCTTTTTGCTGGAAGAGCCGATGCAATGCTTAAGATGCTAGCAATAGCAATAACGGTGGTTTGAGAGAATAGCATGATGGTTGTGATTAATTGGAAGAGAGGTCCGAATTAGACAATCGCTCAATGTAAGTAGTTTAATTGGAAAACGCAGAGGAAGACAGAATTGCTTGTTGGTTAAGGACTGATAATAGCAGGATGAGCAAGCAATTATATAGAGTTAGCAATTGCCATGACGATGACAGACTTCTGTCCGGTCATTGATCTTTCCGAATTATCCTTTGACTTCCTACTGCAATCCTCAATATCGACCTTGAAAATGACTCCATCAGGTAATAGATTCGACCGGCAATACGCCAGGCCGTGACACTAATCGATAGTTCCCGAACCCCAAAGGAATCAACATATGGGATAATGGAAAGGAGACATGGGGGATTGCAAGATGTCGATAGTAGGATTAGTCTCAAATGGCCAAGGGATCATCTGTCTTTGTTGAATGTTAATTTGATGTATTTCCAGTCTACCTCGAGTCTAGCTAGTGGTCTAGCTAGTCTCGGGAAGAGTGTTAACCGGATGTTCAAAATTCCGGAATGATTTGAACCATACTGTATTCGTATTCAGTCACCAATATTAAAGTTACCTTGGAAGAATGATATTGATGACACTGGTGAAAATGGTGATATTGGCGATGGTGGTGACATTGGTGATGATGATAATATTGGTGGTATTTGCGATATATTTGAGATTTGAGAAAGATATCTCAAATAATTTGCTACATCATTGAATGATCAAAAACCTATGCACAAAGTGACAGCTGCAAGAGGTTCAATACGGATAAGCGTAAGAGGAGGTAAGGGTTCTGACACTACACCCATATCTAGCTCGCCTAGGTAGTTTACTATACTCGAGTATTGATCAGATGGTTAGCACAACAAATATGGAGAGCTTGGCTTGCACCTTGCATCACTCCCAAGCTTTGAGCTCCAAGGTAGGCAAGCTGGAGGAAAGCCTCTTCTCGTTTTTGGACTTGGTGTCATAAAGCCAAGTGGCTTTAGATCACATTGTCTCTGTGGTACACATGCTCGACATGTCGATCTTCAATGATCCTTCGTTGGCAACGGCTGGATGAGTATGTTGGAGCGGCTTCAGTAGTTCCCGAAGTATATTACATGGGATTTTACGTGTTCCTGTCCCTGTTCCTGTTGCTGTTCCTGTTGCTGTTCCTGGTCCTAATCATTGGAGGTAGATGAACTAGGTAGTGGCGATACCTTAGGTAGTGGAAATAACGAATGAGAACTTTTCCCGTGATTAAGCTCAAGTGTCGATCATTCCAAATGTTGGCATGTTGGCATGTTGGCACCTGCAAGTACGATGGGTGCTACCTACCGGTATATACCCATATACCGACTGGTACATGATAGATGATGCTATCATCGAAATTAACTTGCGCCTTCTTTCATCGCAATCGTTAATCAGTGATTATTAATCATTAATCATTACTCTCGTATCCTCTCCCATGTACCAGAAAGCAGATATAACCTTAATAAATTAGTTTAAAAGTACTGACCTATTGATTGTTCGATGTTGATTTAGATGTAGATAGAATATAGATAGAACCTTGCAAAGTATATGTCTGTCAAGACTCCAAACAATTTCCTTTGATTGTATGTAACCTTTCCACTTTCCTATCTTGGTCAAACTATCGTACCGTAGTCTCCGTCGGAAAGAACCCCATCCGATCTTTGGGGCGAAACTGACTGTGTAGTCACGTGCTACTAACCCACATCTGCACCTCCTGCCCCTTTCACCAGAGATGTCATCACTCGCCGATAATTGTATGTAATAAAAGTATACAGCTAATCCATGTCATGTACTCATCACTCATCATATCCTCGCATGTTACTTACTTTCGTTCAACAGATTTAGTAACCGCCGCTTTCGGTCCGCTCTCAACTTTGTTTTCACGCCAGCCAGATTTTCAGGTTTTCAGTGAGCGTGGGTAGATGTCACATCCACCCTTCTAATATCCATTAGGTCATTATTCGAAAGCCCTTGCTTCTCCAATATTAGTGTCATAATTATTTGTTGCATGTCTACAGCATATGCAGCTAATTCCTTCGCGGCTGTGGCACATGAGACATGGAGATTGTGCCAACTTGAGGGCGGCAATTGACAATGGAATCCAGCGAAATCAGACCTCTTCTCCTTTTCGCGATTTGAGCTTTCCAACCTTGGCAACTTTAAAAAATATGCGGAGGGGAATATGACGATTTTGCTTGTTTACTTGACCTTGTTTCATTGTTATCTTTTGTATATTGAAATGATGATTTATCACCCGGAGTTCTCGTATGCAACCAATCGCGATTAATGATTTTTTTTGAGATACTGCTTAAATCATACCTGTGCCACACCCATCTTTGCCTGATAGTTTGCTTCATTTTAACCGATGTATATTGGTCGATTTAGAATTGTAGTATTGTTTAACTTTCAACCCAAAATCACTCAACCGATCTTCCCTTTTTATATGTTTCCAAAATCAGATGAGGACTCCGAGTCCAAAGATTGGCATGAGAGAGGAATGTGATACGATGAAAGACCCCATATAGTGTCAGAACCCTGTTGTCAATCTCGGATAGAGGATATATTTATGTGGAGTTCTTTGCACTTCCTCTCAGTGGTGGAATCTATTGACGAAGGACTGTACTTACAAGGAGTTTTGCCCGATTTTCATCCCTTTATACCGCTCAAGCCTTTTCAGTGCTTCCATTGGGATGAAAAAGGCCCCATTACTCTTTACTCATTTCACTTTTCTCTGGGCCCTAAATGGAACCACTAGCTTCGAATCGCCATCTATTTCTCCCAGGGTGATTATCTGCTTTGACCTTCGCCTTTTCACTATGCCGTGTGTGATCTCATTCCAGCTACCCACATTGCTTCTCTACCTCAATTTTATCATTGAGCTTTTAGATTCAATCGATCTTCTGCATTGCACAAGCAGCGATTTGACTACAAGACAGAGTGGTGCTAAGGGGTACCGAAGAGTACCTGTGCGTTCATATGCGTTCCTTGAGCGATGCTCAGAGCGGTTGTTTGGGAGCTTCACGCTTGGAAAAATGCTCTCCTTTTCTTCGGTATACTGAACATGCGTGACTCGATTTATTTAGCCGTACTTTATGTCCTTGATGGAGAAGTTGGAGTGGCTTCAGGGTTGTCTTTATCAGACAGTCTCGACGATTTGCCTGTAGTAGTGGCAAAAACTGGTGTCTGATGTTCCGATACATCTTGCAGTCTATTCCTGCAATCTCGAACCTTTTTTTATCAATCCACAAATCACCTCTTTCGTTGGTTTCCGATTCATCGATTGTCGAGTTAATGGTATTTTTTCTTACAGCATGTTCTACACCTGCCAGACTTCCTTTACTTGAACATTGCGAGGTGAAAGCAGACCTCTTTAATTGTAACTAACTGTTGATTTGCAGTGATATATAGGGCGATGCAGCCATGGAATTTTGGGCGAGTTATTCACTTGTCAAGAGAGTACTGAAATCTAGGAAGAATTTTGACCTCATATTAAATCTACCAAAATGTCAGAATGGTAAATGAGAAGCGAAGCAAATACCCAGAGCTAATTTGATAAACAATTCAAACAGAAGGTGATTCCAAAGTCAGTAACGAGCATGTCTCATCGGTAGCGAATGCCAAAGTGATTTGAAATGAGCCACAGTGAATGGCTGGGCTCGGAGAAAGTGTGTCTCAAACATGCTCTTGCAATATTTGAAATCACTATGTACGCTCGCCAAAGAATGATATTTCGATGTCATGGCTGGTTGCGGAGAAACAAGTTACAGTTACAGGCATTGTAGACCTCACTGCTGCAAAGTATGGTATCAATGTGTTACTGTAGGAAACTATCCCAAAATTAATCTCTCTTTTTTGGGGGTAACCTCACATAGAATTTACTTACCTCCTTGCAAGCTCACTTGAGCCTTGCAACTCAGCCATGGACAGATGTATTCACCATATATTCAATTTGGAAATGATAAAGTAATTTCAAGATTAGAGGCCTTCAAGTTTTCACTACCGACCAGGGCCGATCTGCCCTAATAGAATCTTTTGCACATTGCTTGTGGAAGTTATTTCACCCGAGGCCTTTTAATACAGAACCAAACAGTTACGTCAGACAAAAGGGAGTGCGATACACTAAATACTTGAACATACTCTAGAAATTGAACCACTGTTGTCTAATCCACATCTTGCTACTTATATGCAGTGTTCAAATAGCACATCAACAAAGGAACGTTTCTAGGGACCGGGATTTGTCCATATTCCATGACAACCAGTCGAGCTGCAGCCTTCACGTCTCAACGGAAACCCGAGGAGAATACTGCAAAACATACCTCGAAGTTAATGTGCGTGTTACTAATAAGCTCCACAGTAATATCTACCTACCTGTATGGATCGAGAACCTTCATCCACCCAGTCTTCTTTAGGGGTAATGCAGTAGAAGTAAATGCCTTTAATTTTAGTTTCGGTATAATGGCAACAGATAGATAAAGTGCCGTGCTACATGTCTTCCTTAAATATTTTAACTCCGTTGACCTGCTGCACCATTTGCTGCGCCTAGTTTCCTCACCCGGCAGTAGTATTCCCTAGATAGTAGCATTAAGAAAAATATTACACCCACGCCATGCTACTAAGTCTGTAACGTGCCCCTCGATCTCTCCCTTTCTCGCTCGAGGCAGGCGCAGGAGGTATCAGGGTTGGCATTTTCAAAACTTTGTAGGTTGTCGAAGATGCGTGCCATCCGCGAGTGCCCTGAAATCTCGCCACGATTGCGACGTATACCTCTAAGTTATACCTCTAAGCTGCTGTGTACGAAGCCTGGCAAGTGCAAAATTATTGTCCGTTCGTCGATGCGTGTATTAATATTAATACCTGGTATAATTAAGCCTCACGACAAATTTGTGGTGGTGACTGGTAATCGGTGGTTTGTAAATTGAATCTTATGCGTCCTGGTCACAGCAATGTGATTATCGGGAATCTTTTCTAACATGCGTAATGCAGGACGATCATAGGAA